ACGGCCAGTTTATTCTGGGGTCCGCAATTCTTCCGCGTCGGATTCTTCATGTTTCGTCGATGTCGGTTCCTGCGCCTTTTGTTCTTCGGTTCTCCGACCGGCATTACTTCGGCGTCTTGTACGGGTACCTCTTGTAATTCTGCCACCTCAGGTTTCCTGTTCGCTGAGGCCAGATCTTCTTCTTCTTGACGTGCCTCCATTACTAGGAAGGCCATCGTCGCTCCGACCGGTATTACTGTGGGGACCTCTTCTTGTTGTGCCGTCATTGCTAGGGTTGCTCTGGTCTCTGCGGAAGTTTTTTCTCGCCAGGCTTTCGAGTCGGCGTCCGCCCCTTCTCGCCATGCTTGTCTGTCAGCCTCCCATCTTGCCATCAAATCCTTATGGTCTTTCCTGCTATCGGCTCTCATTTCTTTCAGCATTTCAAGTATTAGCTGAATGTCTTGCTCCTCCATTTTGTAGCAGTCAAATACTCGATGCACAATAATCCAATTATTTGTCAGGCGTGTTCAAGTTCGTAAAAATTCTGACACCAAATTATCACGTGTCTTGAGTTCGAATCTCGTTGATCACGTGTGTAAGTTCTAATCCCACTTCTGACACCAGTTGTCGCGTATCGGGCGTATAACGCGACAAATAAATTCTCGATGTATTCGATGTAGCGAATTTTATTTCACATTCGCTCATACAATCACCCAAATTACAGATTCACGATTACTGCTATCTGCAGTATCACAAATAGTACACTCCAAATGCCACAGTACAACTGACTGGCTGACTTTCTCGACGATAGGTCCAGGACTCGCTGACTGACTCAGTACAACTCAGTACAACTGACTGTGAATAGCCTTCGCTGCGCCTCATGTAGCCTCGATCGGACCATACGGAAAACGGCCGCGTAATAGGCACCCTCTTTGCCTGGCGCTGTGTTGCTATGTAACGCTAGCGGAGGTAACCGCTGTTACTATCGTAACATCGCCGCTGTTGACTCGCGTTGCCTAGTGACCGCGATATCCCTCGGTGACGTCACCGCGGAGGGGAGTGGCAGGGCGGGAACTCGCCTATTACCGTAGTAACGCGAGCGTTACGTTACCGCCACGTACCGCAGGGGAGGTAGGGGTCAACATGTCACAATATTATCAATAAACTGCAAATTAATATAAAATTAAATAAATAAGATAGTGTGATCAAATACAGATGTCATGTGACACACAGCAGAGGCAAGATGCATATGGAGAGGTAATTCCATTGCTACACTTTCCAGATAGATATATTAATAAAAAAATGTCAAGATACAGATGCAGAATGGACAACTCCTGCATCCCAGAAAATTATCCTAACAGAGCAATTTGTTGGAAATATGACCACAGCCTGAATCTCTTCATCTAGATGTATACTGATGCTGAAAAATACAAAAATTCTTACTTTCCTTTCCAGTTTTCCATTTTTCTATGTTATCATATGTTCATACTGTACTATCACTCGTCTCTTCTGGAAGATCATGAAATAAAAACAAACAACATGAGTTTTGACTTTCATCACACATAAGCCAGCATCTCAAGTACATTATATCAGCACAAATTCTAATTTTAACCTAACTCCCCAGTTTTATACTTGTCATAACATTATTAAAAAAAAAAGAGGTAAGTAAGTATGCACTGCAGTTTGACATGAAAAATCCACAGAATTGGACCTTTTTGTCTTCAATTATCTACAATATTCTTAACAATATACTTCTACAAAACAGCCTCCTGCATTAGATTATATTCCACCTAGCACAATGAACTGAGCTTTCAAATCATGGAACAATCCATTCAGTCTACTGTTACCCATTACCAGGAAGAGTAATCCATGACAACAAATTATATATATATTCCCGCACTTAGAGACCCTCAACACTGACCAACACAAAATTACACACCAACCACTCAAGATCACTAAGAGTACCTGCCCTGCATGCCCACAGAAGCATCTTCAAACAATGATGCTGGGAGTCAGTATCAACCATCAAGGATGAATATTATCCGTCACTGAACTTGATTTCGAATATACCAGACGTGGTTCCCCAGATCAGTCTGCACAGAATATGGTTCCCTGAATGACGAACTTTTCTACACAGATGTGTAATCGGTGGTCACTATCTCAATCACCTGAAACCTTCCCAGCTCTCCCAAGAAGCAAGAAGTCGTCTGTGGCAGCAAGTTGCAAAGTCTGTTACTTGATTCAGAAACCCGGGCAGCGCTGGAAGCGCATCGCTGCACTATATGAATCTAGGTGGTCCAGTGTGGTAGGGGCCTGAACCCATGTGTGCGGGGGAAGGTCGATGGTGTGAATATGGAGGTGGTGGACCAGGACCAAGGTATCGGTGGTAGCCTCCATGAGGAAGTGGATGAGGCATCAGTGGGTGGACGGGACGTGAGGGTGATGCTGACAGTGGGTTGTGGAGGTGGCTTGTTCCATCTCCAAGGTCCAACTCCAACTCCTGCTGTTCCTGCAGCTGTAGCTGGCCAAATGATGCTGTTGCCATAGCAACATCTGGCATGATGTCAGACAGGTGGCCATCACTACAAGAGCTGCTCTCGGGCTGCAGGTAATAACAGTGTTAATCTCCATATACAAAATACCGTTATCTATATACAGAACAGAGGGAAATTACAAGGAGAGAATTTATAAAAGTGAAATTTTTTTACAACATTCCTTGTCCAAAGACAAATGGGTATGCAAATTCCTATACACAATCTCATAATTACTTAAAATTATTTTCAGTATAAGCCTCACCTCTCCGTGACCACGATAAGCGTCGCCCTCAGTAACAACAGCAGGCAGCTCATGCCGCACAGTATATGCTGCGCTGTGCCCACGTGGGAATGTCATATTTCGTCCAAAACATGGTGGAAGACCTCCAGCACAACTGGGTGCTCCAGGAGATTTACCAGAAGACGAAGGTGGTACTGGATCCTCATCCATGCCCATTTCTGTATCATCATCTTCTTGAGCACAGTAGCATGCAGCATTCTGACACACCACAAACCACATTCATCATCATACAATAAACAATATCACGATGCATTTTTCCTTGAGCCTGCAGAAATGCTTATGTAGCAGACCCAGATGTCACATTTCCATCCCAAGCAGTCAACACTGTCAGTAATGCCAGTGCTTACGTGTGCTTTTTGCATGATTATGTCACCAGAGGCCTGGCTCAATACTCTTTCATTTTATGAAAGAATAACATTTTCATATGAATATTTCCTTCCATACACTGAACGCAAGGCTATCTCAGAACAAAGTACACAGTTAATTCCCAAATTCATATCATGGCTTCCATGGGTTGCAGGAAGAGATCATCCAGGCCATTAGAAAGCTCACATATAAGCGATTTAGAAGAAAATTTATTACAACTGAACATGTTTATTTATTTGCACCTTCTGGTCCCTTCCATTTGAAAAATTAATGTGTGGTACTATCCACCCTGTTATTTGCGGGGAAGTATTTAAACTGAAATTAGGTTTCATTACATTTTATTATGTTAAAAGAAGAAAGATCCTTTGGATTTTGTTACATTATGGGGAGCAAAGAGTTGATTTATGGATGAAAGTTGTCTTGGGAGACTTGAGATTCACACAACGGTGACTATGAGAACTGCTCTGTTCTAGAAAGTGATATCACATAATCTAGCAGTCACCAATGTTTTGGAGAAACCTACTGTCATTCATGATTTATTAAATTCTGTGAATTATTAAACACTAGCTGACACATTAAAGAAAGATCATGGGAATAATGAAGGGGCATACAGTGGCATTAGAAACATAACATTCAACAGGAAGGACATAGCCAAATTATGGTACAGAAGGAATTTTTCACTGGGGAACACAGGCCACAGAGTGCAGCAGAGAAACGTTTTATTCTTAATAATGAATCTGTGGAAGATATAACAGAGACCAGCTGTTATGCAGAATTTATAAAATTGAAAATGAATGTGTGTTCAAAGTAAAAGTATAATGAGATTTTGACGTCAGTATTTTACACTAAAGGCTCTACTTCCTGTACTCAATAAGTATTCTTCATAAATATGATAAATTGATGACAGGAACTGCTCTTCACAGATCCACCTACCCACAGAACTCATACTACCTGCAACCTGCATGTGCAGTCCTGTGAGCACACTGTGGTACCATAATCTCAGAACATCACTATTACAATTTTTTGCTTGCTTTCCTTATTTTGAAAAAATAAAAGCAGGTTTATCAGATCACCTTCCTGTCTATGTCTCTTTGTGTTTCCCCTTAACACCTGTAAGCTGGAATAGCAGAAGAAGAAGAGACTACTGTTGCTAGGTAATAGCTCGGTAAACATATTCCCATGACACCAAATACAAATGCAACAACAGAGAAACCGCTGAACACAGTGTTTATTATGTGATCCATGGCATATCACATATTCAATATGTAGTGAAAGGAAAGTAGCTGATCAGGTCTTCTCAGAACTTCTTGTACTGCATGCAGAGCTATCCTCCAAACTGACAAGAATGGGGGAGGGGGGTGGGGGGCAGTGGCAGTGACAGAAACAATAGTGGATATATAAAACGTTGCAGCTGGCTGAGTAGCACCACTGGTTTGTAGGTCTCAGATTCAAATCTCAGTCTGGAAACTGACCACCCTGAGTATTTCAGTCTTCATCAGTTCCTTACGCACACACCAGGATAATACCTCAGCTGAAACTAAGACCACTTCCTTCCACATCCCTTCCAACTCATTATTCACTAATCATCCTAAAATTTCATGCTATATAGTCTCCATTATGATTTAATAAACAACAGATAAATAAATTAACGATACTGTAGCAGGTAGACCCATTACTGGGTAACAACCTCGAAACAAACAATGAAACAACATCCTCTGCTAAAAAACGGATTCTTAATAAGCAAGTATGCACAGTCATTCCTAAGTAACACCTTCACAAACAAACACATACCAACAGAAACGACTGGAGAACAACAATGAATGGTGTTTTCTACGCAGTTCACACCGAGATGTTATAAGTAAGACAAATTCAGAAGTTAGTCAGTTGTGAGAGTTGTCAGGAAGTCCATGAAGAGAAGTCTTAGTCAGTGCAGTATTGCCAACAGGCAATAAAGCAAGCACAGAAGCTGAAGAATCTCCAATGTTAGAAGCCATTACCAGGGAATGACTGGTAAAGACACAGCAGAGTGAAAAGGCTTAACATGTGCTGTAGTGATTTCTAAATTGTGGAGATCAGTGATGATGCTATAATCAAGTGTTGTCACAATCCATATGTTAAAGTGGTAAATAAATCCAATATCCAATCTAAATCCCCATCAATAGTCACTCATACAAGTGATAATATTATGATAATTTTATAATTCCTATGCATTGTCAGCAATAATGAATAAGGATGGGAAGTCATAAAACTAGATGATGAACTTTCCTCACCTCCAAGAGATCAGCTACAGCATCAGGCAGATTGAACTCTCTTACAACACGCAGCCTGATCTGACGGTTGATTTCATGTCGTGATGACAAATGCAATGAAACAGCCCTCTGACAACTTGGCGCTTGGCGAAGTTTCTGCTCACGTTTCAACATTGCTGACATTGTGGCTGAATCTGGAACTAGCAGAAAAGAAAAGGGCCATTATACAACAGAAACATTTATTAGCCCTTTCAGTGCCATGCTTCACACTACAATACCACCATGATGGGTTGCACTTAACCCTTCACTGGACTAAATGCTCCTGTCTAAATTGTGGTTCCAGATTTTAGTGGTAGAATGTATGTATGACTTATTCTTCTCTCCTACTGCCATCTATTGGAGACTTAACCTACTTCTGACACTCTGATAAATCTTATGATATGGAACAGTGTTCACTCCAAATGTCAGCTCCAGTCCTCAAGTTACCTGTATAAAATGAAAACATAAAATAATAATGTAATATTGAGATTAATACATCTATATTAAGTTGCCCTTTTCCTAATTAATTAAGCACCATGCCATAAAGACATATGAAGGACTGGAAGTATAGCTCCACCATTCTTGACCTCAGCACAAGGAGGTGAATGGTCGGCTTGATGCCCTGGCCACTTTACACCAGGTACCCACTGGTTCCTAGAACCAGTCTGGATGCTGTGGAGTAGAAACAAATCTCTTGCTGCAGAATTACCAGCTCATCAAGAAGGGTTCAGCTCCATGAGTAAGTAATGATGATAATAATTAGTTGAAGCAGAGTAATTCATAATATTATATTTCAGCATCCTGTTGCACTGAAGTATCACTCGTGCTTTCTCTTCCATCTATAATGCAACACATTTTTAATTAGGTGACATCAAAATTATATTCAACTCACTGAGATGTCAGTTAAAATGTACAGTAAAAAAGGTAAAGTTATCCCTGTGCTTAATTAATTAAGCACTGTTCCATGAAGGCATATGAGGAAATAGATGTATAGATTCATGTTGAATTAAAATTAATTAACATCTAAATGTTTTTTAATGCGGTTGTCGTCCATTCATTTAAAAGACATTTGCTTGCAAGTATTTCTTGTTGTTGGATTTATTCACACTGCATTCCCGTTTTGGCATGGGTATTATGCGTGTTATTTGTGCCGTTTGTAAGGATGTCGATGTAGTGTTATTATCAGTGTTGTTATGGATGCTCCACTGGCGTCTAGGTTTTCCTATGCTGCTAGACTAGTTATGTTGTTGTTAAGTGGTTTCTGTGTGTAGATATGATGTCATGCAGTTTAGCAGAAAGGTACTAATGTTTTTCTCTTAGTGGGAGGTGGAGTCCAACTGGGTCCACTTGGCACGGCAGCCACTGATTGGCCTATTGTAGCCTGCCCCAGGTGATTATGATGATGGAGAATTTTGGTGGAATGAAGATNGGAATGAAGAGTGGCAGGGGAAACCGAAGTACTCGAAAACCCCGCCCCAGTGCCACTTTGTCCACCACAAATCCCACTTCACCAGACCCGAGATCGAACCCAGGCTGCCGTTGTGGGAAGCTAGCGACTAACCGCTTGAGCTATGGTGTGGTCACAAGTACTAATGTTTCCGAGAAATCTGCTTCCATTTTCAGGGTAGATGAACCTCTAAAATACTGGTACCTATCTATGAGACTGCACGGCATCACATCTCAGAAGAACATAACCTTCATATTTATGAGAACCTCAAACCTCACACAACACAAAATGGCACCAATCTTCTGCAGGCACTCTGAAGAAACTATAAAGCAACATACCTGGTATTGCTGCTGCTAGAACATCTACTCCAGCTGTGCCGTGAGGACGGGGCTTGTCCTCCACCATGTACAATGTATCTGGGATATCAGGGCTGTAGGGCAACCTGCGCAGCCTGAGAAGCTGCACCTCCTGCACCAGATGATCATCCAGCTGTGCCTTAATCTCTTCATAATATGGCATGAACAGCCTTGGCCGCACAAATAGTCCGTTGTTCTTACCCCCACGGATCCATGCATTGGCACGTAGGTTTTCCTGGTCATCGCCTATCATATGGCTAGGTGGGGTGCTTACCTATTTAAAATTCATCAGATGTATAGCTTACAGGCAAGTCCATTATGTACTGTATAAACAATACTAACATATAGCACCAAAAGAAAGACCTTAAAAAGATAATTAAAAGCAGAATCCAGCAATGTATATGATATTTTTGAGAAGTATTGCAGAGAAAGTAAGATAAGATAAAATTATAAAATACTTTTTTATTGTAGAAACTGGAATTCAAAATTTAACAAATTTAAAAGAGAAATGATTAAATTTCAAAATATGAAAAGGATGGATGGAATATGGATAACTATTCATGCACAGTAACGATTTTAGATCTGTCTATACAAAACAGGTGCTGTTTTACTATCTTAGCATCAGAACAAGAGTGAAAAGTGTATACAAATGAAGTACATATTTTCCACTGCTCTTTGCTATTATAAGAAAAATATGTCCAACAGGAATTAAGACAACTTCTCTAAAGTGATATACTGCCGCTTCTTACTCACCAGTCCTCGTCGAATGGCCTGATTTAGTACATCACTGCTTGGTGGTAGGACATGGTCCATCCTCACAAGAGGCAGCAAATCTGATAGAATCTCACGCAGCTCAACATCACTCAGGTCTCGTTTCTTGATACCTTTCCGTGTCACAGAGTGAGCTGTGTGACTCAGGAGGTTGGGTTCTGTACAGTAAGAATGAAATCAGTGTAGAAGCAATCAGCATAATGGTCAAACTCAAAATAAATATCAAGTAGCACATACTGACCTCGGTCTTCCATCCGCCGGATCAACTCGTGTTCTCCCCATTTTAGAACGGCCTGCAACACCTCCAACTCACTAGCCTGGATTACAAAGAAACCATCATTATAACTCTGAAGATCAATATGTTCTGGGACATAGTACTGTGCAATCTGATTGAAAGTTACCTGCATTTTACAAGAACTTGCCACCCTCATTTTGTGGGTACAATATGAAGACAGCAGGTTCCTTTGAGACTTGGTAACAATCTACAAGACTACCGTACACTGTGTCACATCACAGAAGACTGTACTTTTCATTATTAAATTTCACTGCAAAATTATGGCATAGAATTAGGATTTGGATTGAATTCCTCCAAACCATTTACCGTTCTATTACTCTTAAGAAATTGCAGGAATTGAAAACATATAAAACAAAATATTCCAGAAAGTGGTTGGCTTTAAGATGAAAGACTAAAGTAGGGAATTTAGGCTTTTACAAAATGACAAACTCTGTGAATAATACAGTTGATCTAGTATTGTTAGGACAGTGAAATGGAGGCAGCTAAAATGAATTTAAACGTAGCAAAGATGTAGGAGACAAAAAATGTATAGAAATATTTCGGTGGGAACCACTTGCAAAGCAGCCACTTAAAAGACTGAGAAGGTGATGGAAGTATAACAACAGTAAGATGGATCTTTGGGTAATAAATTGGGACAGTGGAAATGGATGGAACTGCTGCAGGATTAAATTTAATACTGGGCTTTTAAAAGAAATAATTACAATGGTTTGGATATATAAAATAAATGAAAGATCAAGGATATCAGACAGAAATCAGAATTGAAATTAAATGGAAAGGAGATAAAAGCTAAACAATGACGACAGACAAGTGAACAGTGCAGCGGTCTCCCTGTAAACATAAAGGAAAATTACCTGATGATGGCCCATCCATATGCGGCCGAAACATGTAGTAAAGTGAAGAAAGATATGTAAAACTAGAAACATTTTAATAATTTGATGATCACTTTTAGTGTCTTAATGACATTTTATGGTTTTAACAACATCGTAAAGTATTAAAGTTGCACTTTTTGTGAAAAACATATTTTAGATATCTATTATAGTTAAAAAAATACTGTTGCATTATTGATGGGTGCTTTAATGATAAATTTAAAGGAAAGAAATCTAGGAGACAACCTAGAAAACAGTGGTTCAGCCAAGTATTAGAATATAACAAGATGAGAGGAAAGATAGCAACATTTTGAAAAGGAAAGATTATGGGAAGAAAGAAGTTATAGCAGACTTTTCATCTATTAACCCATATGAAACTGAAATGATGCTAGGAGGTGAAGAGCAGTAGCTTTGAAGTTAGTCATACTGAATCATCATATTCTCTGCTACCAGAGATAGCCAACTGTAATATACCTGAAGGAAATGGCTGCTCAAAGCATCAACAAGGTGAGCCTTGTCAAGTTGGTGCAAAACTGGGGACTGTGCCACTGCCTGGAACTCCTCACGAAGAAAATGAAGAGCCTGGCGATGTACCCAAGCTGACCCATGGGGCTGACTACCCCAACGCAGTACACTGGGCAGAGATTCAAGTGACAGCCACTCCAGAATGAGGTCCTCACAACCCTGTGCCAAGATGTCCAACTCCAGGAACCTGCCTATCTGGTACAGCTCCATGGCCTCCTCCAGGGGGCTTGGTCGTGTACGTCCAGTGTGTGTCAGTGCCTGCACCTCACCAAGGCTGCCTGCACTGCTTCCACAGCCATTCCCACGAAGTATCAACGAGAGATCCACTGTATCCAAGTACACAGCATGGAGGAGCACTCTGGCGTAACGTTTGGGGATTACAGATTCGTCCAGAACTATGCGGGTCGGAATGTGTAGAGCTCGCTCTGTGTGTTCCTCACCTGATCTTGTACGTCGCTGGATCAAGTTACGGAAGAACGGTGACCTAGCACTTAGTATAGCTTTGTGGCACGGCAGTTCTAACTTTGGTCGGAACCCATACTCTGAGCTGCCAGAATCAGGTCGCTGATAGTCCCCACTCCCACCAATACCACTCCCACCATTTCCCACAGCTCCATCTGATGTGAACACCAGGGCAGCATCAGCATAGTCACCTGTCTCCAGCAGGTAACAAAGATCATGCTCTAGAGGATTGGGTGTGCCAAACTCTTCCCCCAGCCGACAAAGCACACTCAGGTCTAAGGTCCCATCATGAGTGCATATGTCACCAGTGTACAGGTACCGAAGAAGAGCTGAGAACATCTGAACATCCACGCCTGGAGTACGGAGTTCCAAGCAAATTCGAGCCCCATAGCCAGGATACCCAGCCAGCAGGTCTCTGAAATAGGGGCAACGTGCAGAGAGCAAGGCGCGGTGTACAGGGAAGCACACCTGACGGAACACCAGATCTGCATCTGTGCAGTATTTGAAGTCGTACAGAGTGGACAGATCTTGCTTGTATGTGGCGGCAGGAGGCCTGGCAAGTTCAGCCTGCACCGACAAGTCCTTCAAGGCAGCTAGAGCCTCATACTCTTCCAACAGAGCTCCCACCTCCAAGGAACCCCACTCAGCCACCAGCTCACGCAGCACTCGTCCATGATCACAAGCTTTAGATGATCGGCGGCGGCGGATGAACTTCTTGCGCAGTGTTGCAAATCCAGTCACTTTCTTTTTTCTCTCTCTGGAAATGAGAATAATATCAGTAAGAGACTCAAAAACTCCTGTCCTGTGTCCAGGGTAATCATAAGAGTTTCAAGAACATTCAATGTTTTTCCTCAATCTCTCACCACTTAAGTAACTGCTACAGAACATGGGGACATTACATAGTCCCGACCTACTCAGACATACTGGCAGAAAAGAAACTGTGACGGTAAGCATTTTAATTCATTAACCAGCTCCATGATGCCAAGCCCTTCTTGACTAGCCTCAACTCTTCCAACATTTTATGGAACCCAAAGGTTCATTACCGTGTTTTCAAGAGCTTTCCACCAGTCCCTATCCTAAACCACATCAATCCAATCCATACCACCCCATCCTATTTCTTTAAAATCCATTTTAATATTATCCTCCCACCTATGTCTTTCTAGTGGTCTCTTTCCTTATGGCTTTCCCATCAAAATCCTACAAGCATTCCTCTTCTCCCCCATGCTTAGCATCTGTATTGTAAGTCTTAATCTAGCCTAATAACCCTAACTGAGGATTTATGTGCTTCTTCAGTCTGTTCAGACACATTCTGACACATTACATTACACCAGACCACAACCACATCTTTCCAGAACTCATACAATCCATAATTCACAACCATCTCATCATTTGTACCACATAAACTATGCATTTACCATTTACATTTGAGGTTGTCATGACAGGGAATATCAAGATTATATCTTCTGGGACATTATGTTGTATAAGTTTGTATGGGAGCAGCAGGTTCCCACCAAATTATGTGGCACCATGTCCTAGAAGACTGTCATTCAGTAATTTACATTACAAAAGTGTTTCTTGGTGTAAATAACATTGGATATCAGCTGTGTACATTATGAAGACTCAAATGGCAGGATGACTATGAATGATAAACAAGATGTACAGAGATGAATCATAGTCAAGTACATCAAGTACCATCCCGGCATTTGCATGGAAGGATAAGGCATGCCATTTACACACTCAAATCCACAGAGCAGAGACCTTCTCTCATTCAAATGGATTTCATTGATAATTAGAACTTGAACTTTTCACCATCACACACACACTATTATGAAATGAAATGAAATGAAATATTTTTGATACACTTGTTTCAACCAGAGTTTAACATCATGCAAGGCATACACAAAGCTTAACAAGCTCTGAGTAAACTGCAAGTATAATTAAAATCGAAAATTTGTAATTATGTCATAACCACATAACTAAAACTGATCACATAACTTATGTTCATACATGTAAAAACAATGATAAAATAAAAGAACAGAAAATGTTCTGATGACTTTCAGAATGTATAGAACCAAAAATGTGTAATATTAAATTAACAGGTTGCTGAGTTTCTCTGCAATGTGTTTGTAATCAGCATGTCATTCTTACTCTTATCTCATTTCAGTTTTCCTGCACATATATTGGTGCACTCATTTATTTTATTTATAGGAGTTATGTTATACAAGTACTCTTTCCTGTGTACTGTTTTCATATCAGTTCTTAATGCAATTTTGAGGCAATCTTTTGAGTTGTTGATTCTGCTGAAATGTATATGAACAGTTTACTATTGTGTGTATCTTAATAGGCAACAACCTGTTATGTTTCGATCAGGTATGACTAATGAGGGTGGTCTAATGGATTGCCTACAATAAGAATAAAAAATAGGCCTTCATTCACACAAAACTATAAAAAGATTACTTTTTTTTTACCTCACAACCACAGATAGTTGATCACTTGTGCCTGATGGAGCAATACCAGTATGAAAACCAGCTGACAAACGTGCTGCTTGAGTTGTAGAACCGACTCTGCTCGGTGGCTCTCCAGTTGGATTGGAGGCAGAAGCTCCCATTCTTCCAGTCATACGTTCATCTCCTGTCCAGCAACTTCTTTGCAACGCACAAGGGATAAGGGCTCGAAATAGGTTCATTGCTTGCCCAGCGCCCAGGCTGTGAATAAGCCATAACACATATACTCATATGTGTACATAAAACTCGTTGAATAAGAAATAACTTCACATGACAATCATTTGGTATTTAGTCAGTCACAAATTACTTACAGTAAAATATGTAAATAAAACACGATACAAGGATCAAGTTCACATAACAATGACCTTAATAATAAGTAATAAGAGCTTGATCGGCCACAAATGACATTACCAATGACCTGTAAAATTAGCATAGGATGTAAACTATACTAAAACCGCAAAATTTTCCTGCAGCAGTTAATGAAACGACTAAGAAAACTCTCATATAGTATACAGGCAATTGAGACCCTTACCTGAGACTAACACTTGCATTTTGTAACAAACTCTATTCCACGCCTATAACTTTCACAGATATAAAATATAAACACCAATTAGCATTAGCAGTCGCCATGTTTACATTTGTAGGACTTCAAATTCCATTCCCGTATGTTCACAGATATGCCATTATTACTCACGAAAATGACTGTAGTATTTAAAATAGTGTAAAAGTTAATGTCCAAAACTAACATCTATAATTATAATTCTGATTAACAATCAAGAATTGGAAAACCATGCAAGTTTTTTTACGGTGGAGACTTTCTCACTGCTTCTATGACTGCGATGACACCTGCACGATCGTGGACATACCAAAATATTTAGCCTATTCGGCTTATTCTGTGGATGCTTAGATCGCTTAGATGCTTATGTTGCTCAAAATCGCCAGGGGTTTTAGAACGGCATAACCAAAGAAATTCATGTATGACTTCGGCTTTCGGGAATATTCCGTGTAGAATGTTGAAGGTTTTTGCACAGTTAGGCAAACATGCCAGTTGCCATCTTCGGGATCTTAAGGACTTTCGCAGACCTTAAACTCCAGCCATAAATCTTAAGGACAAGAAATTGAAGTACAGTACATCTAGGATTTGGTGTGCCTACGGTTGTGACCACAGCACTGTGATGACTGTGACCACTGTGACTACGCAGCACAGATCGCCACGAAGAGTGTCATCTGGTGGTATCTGACGCCGTGTAGCCTGGTACATACAAAAAAAAGATGTTATGCCTTACGTTTTATCTCATTTGCTATCTGTGTCAGAAAAAAATGCGAAATGATCTGTGAGTGTATTATTCTACGTTACATTAAAAGTGCAATGCTCAGAATACAAAAATATTTACAGCCATATGTCTTCGTTATATATTGCCTTCTGATATTATATATGCATATATCAAGAATTAAAAACGATTCGTTTTCCATCTGATGGGAATTCTGTATACTAGTTGGAAAGCCTGTGATTGTATTCCGGCAGCGGGACTCTTTTCATACAGATTTTTTTTATAACACTTTCACTTCATAACTTCAGGCACAACTTAATCACAGGAATTGTGCGTCAAACCAATCACAGTGCCTCGTGGCCTAAGGTATGAACTGCCGTCGCCCGCTTAAACACTGGGATCGTGGGTTCAAATCCCACTTGAAGCGCGGATTTTTGCCTCCGTTTATTCTGTGTTTGTGTTTCCCTGTATACGAAGCGGCCTTGTGACTGACTGATCCTCCGCCCAAGGAGTCCTACCGACG